GAGTTCTTGGTTTAAAAAAGTCATATATGAAATGCTATACAGAATTTACCTTCCCTTTCTTCCCTCTGTTTTGTGATTATTAATATTTAATGAGAGGGTGAAGGTGTTCTTTCTGTGAATTCCCTGTGTGTCTGACTTCTGGTTTATAATATTTTTTATTCAAACAGGAAGTAAAACCAGCAAATAAAGTAAGCAAAAGTGATTATGAATGCAATAATGGGAGCAGTGGGAAGTCAGTGAGAGGTGTTTCTTCCTTTAGTTATTGTTAAGCTTTTGTATTTGATTAATAGTACAGGAAAAGAATGTTTTTAAAGCGAAGATTAAAAAAATAATCTGAAACCAACCAGCATGAGCCAAGGGCTCAGCGCCTCACTATTCCTCCCCAGCAGGGGGAGACACTGCTTATTTGGGGCCTGTGTTTCCTAATTATAAGGGGGACTTCCCAAGGAGGAAGAAGGTAAGGATTAATGTGGAAATATCCTCATGAATCTGAGTTCCTTGGAGGCAGATGCTATACATTTAAAGGTTTGTGGGAGAACAGTAGAATAAGGACGTTATTACTGTTCTTATTATTGCTGCTGGTGTTTTTATGTTTTGATGCATACAGTGGTTAAGTAGATTGGATTGAACCCTCCCCCCAACACACACACACACACACACACACTCACTCACTCACTCACTCACTCCTCTACCCAACATAACACCAGAGCATTTTTGCTGTGTTCTTTGTGTTAACCTATTTTCAGGCTCCATGTGTGGGTTATATAATCCTCAGAGAGCCTGATGGCATTCAAAAAATATTTGAAAATTGGTAAGCATGATCTGGGTTCATGATTTCATTTTGTTGTGAGAAGAGATGAACAAACTTCTATGACCTGGATGAACAGATTAGGGGGAAAGTTTTAATAATGACAGACCAATAAAGTTCTTCCAAGTTACTGAGGCAACCCAGCAGATCTGCATTCCGGGACAGCAAGGGCATCTGGCCAACTTCTTTTGTTCATCAAATTTTACAAAAAGCATCAGCGTTGATGGCTTTCTCAGTTCCTTCCCGATGTTTCCTGCAGATCAGAGGGGCTTGCTATGGTAACCCAAACACAACTGTTTGTGTGAGTGTGGCAGGTTCCAGCTACACAATAACAGCTGCAACTTTTCTATTCTTTCAGAAAGTCAGCATTCTCCAGGTAATTCTTATGACTTGAAGAGGGAAACAATTGCTGGTAGTTAATAGTGGGTGAATTAATGGAGCAGTTGCAGTCTGTTTCGTCTGTGAGAAAATGGAGCTCTTCTTACTAACCCCAGTTCTACTCTGCTAACAAAAAACTATCTCTGGGAACAGTACCTACATATTCTCATTTGGGAAAACTCAAATTGGGGAAAGCATGCTGTTTGTTAATTTCTCATGTAACTGAGTAAATTGTTCAGTCTCTGAAGGGCTTTATTTTCTATTAGAGCATGGTGAGAATTAGCAATTTCTAATCTTTCTGTAGATTTGCAAAGATTAGGGCCTCCCTACTGGCAGAGCAGGTTAAAGTACAGCACTATGAAGCTGTCTGCAGCCACTGCAGCTTCGGCCAGGGAGCTGATCCAGATGGTATGGCAGACCTCTCCTGTCCTGCCCACTGCTCCCCACAGCAGTGTATTTCAGTCGATCTGCCTGTTTTGCTCACCACTGTCTCTGGTGAATCCCAGGCCTGCACCCCAGCTCTTATATGCATAAATAAATCTTTACAATAATAAGATGTTTTACATTTACCCTTAAAATAAAATGTGAGGCATAGCCTAAGGCATTACTAATAATCACCTTAGCTGTTCACAAGTGAAAATATCCAAACATCTTATCACACCCAAAACCATAAAACAGCCTCAGAAGGAACATGAAGGGGGTACCTGGAGCAGGGAACTCCATAAAGTACTTTAAAACAAAAGTTACAGGCCATCCCTGGTGGCGTAGTGGGTTAAAGCGCAGCACTGAGAAGCTAAAGCCACTTCTGCGTGCCCCGGAGGTGACCACATGGCGCAGCAGACCTCTCCTGAGCCGCCCGCTGCTCCCCTCAGCAGTGGACTTCATCGATCTGCCTGTTCTGTCTCCCACTCTGTCTCTGGTGAAGCCTCTCACCGCCCCTGAGCCTCTGGCCTGTACACCCCAGTTCTGTATGAATAAATAAATAAATCTTTAAAAAAAAAAAAACAAAAGTTACAAATGGCACAAGGAAATAATAGTTGACTATACTGCCAGAGACAATGCAGTAATACCTTCAAAGTGCTAGGGAAGAATTACTGTGACCTCAGGATACTGTGTCGTCCAATTCTTCAAGGATGTGTGAAATTAAGTTGCTTTCAGACAGATGGAGACTAAAATTAACATATTTTATAGAAACCTTTGTGAAAGAAATACCAAGAATATATTTTCAGAAGGAAAAAAATGAAGTAGTAAATAAAGTATGTTGGTAAATCTAATCTATATATTAAAAAATCTTAATGTCTGCATCACTTTTGATCTAAAATTCTGGAGAATATGGGGTTCAAGGGTTGCATTTCAGAGGGATAATAGAGAGTGTTAAAATAAGGGTGAGGAAGACGTATATCCCAGTCTGCCTGCACGCTGCCTGACAAGTTTCTGGTCACTAATCCTCCTTCAACTGATGGACACTTACAGAATCATTAGAATACATAAACAAATGCAAATGCAATTTTGCTTTTTAACTAGGCAAACATACACAAAACTTCTAAAGCATAGGGCATCAAAGTAAGTTGTTATGCCTGCGTGCCCAACTGGGACTTCCTAACCATGGAGACAGTTGACAGAAGCAGGAATGTCCTTAAGATTCTTTTTTCCCCCCCAAAGATTCTGAGGTGTAGGCCAGAGGTCCAGGGTGTGAGAGGATTCACTAGAGATAGAGTGGGAGCAGAACAGGCAGGCAGACTGAAATACACGGCTGAGGGGAGCAGCGGACAAGACAGGAGAGGTCTGCTGTGTCATGTGGGTCACCTTCCTGGCCAGGGATTGAACTCGTGCTGCAGTGGCTGCAGACAGCGTCATAGTGCTGAGACTTATCCCCTTGTGCCATCAGGGAGGGCCTCCCCCACCCCCTTAGGATTCTTTTTTAAAGATTTATTTATTTATACATACAGAGCTGGGGTATAGGCCAAAGGTTCAGGGGTGGTGAGAGGATCCACCAGAGTCAGAGTGGGAAGCTGACCAAATACACTGCTGAGGGGAGCAGCGAGCGGGTCAGGAGAGGTCTGCTACACCATGTGGATCACCTCCGGGGCAGGCAGGGTACGAACTCATGCTGAAGTGGCTTTAGCTTATTAATGCTGTGCTTTAACCTGCTGCACCACTTAGGATTCTTAATTTCACTGTAGCAAGTTCCCAGAGCAACAGCTTGTAAGTTCTGGCTTCACTTTGCCCTTAGCTCCTGGCACTTGGAGTAGAAGGACAGTGTTATCTTTACAAGTATGTAAAGGAGGGAAAGAAAGAAAGAGTTCAAAATGGTACTGCATTGCAATCAAGACTTTTCCTATGATTAATTCTGTAACTGTGCATAAGGAACTACTTCCTCTAGCTGAATTCAGGTATCAGTCTTAATACCCTTGAGAGAGGGGCTTGTTCTTTGTGATGCCAAAGAAAGACTGTGGGGTGAGAATTTTGAGTAGCCAGGTTTTAGTACAGTTTTAGAAAGATCTTTTCTAAAAGCTGTTTCTGTCTAGCAAGGGAGGAAAAACTGCTTTAAAAACAGAAGACCTGACACTGCAGCTATTCAAGGAGAAATTGCTTGTCAGGGGTGTTGTAGAAATAATTCCTTGATGGAAAGAGATTGAGCTAGACCTCTAAGACCTTTTCTTTTTTTTTTTTAAAGATTGATTTATTTGTGCATACAGAACTCGGGTACAGGCCAGAGGTGGAAGGGCGGTGTAAGATTCACCAGAGACAGAGTGGAGCAGAACAGACACATCGACAAAGTATACTGCTAAGGGGAGCAGCGGGCAAGACAGGAGAGGTCTGCTGCGTCGTGTGGGTCACCTCTGAGGTGGGATCAAACTCACTCTAAAGTGGCTGTGGCTAGCTTGCAGTGCTGCATCCTAACCTGTTTTGCTACCAGGGTGGGGCCCTCTAAAACCTTTTCTAACCCCTAGGATTTAAGATCCCTTCTAGAGGGAGTTCCCTGGTAGCGTAGGGTTAAGTCTCAGTGCTGTCACCTCTATGGCCTGAGTTCGATCCCCGCCAGGGAGCTGACCTACATGGCACAGCAGACCTCTCCTGTCTTTGCCCACTGCTCCCCTCAGCAGTGTATTTCAGTCAATACTCCTGCTCTGCTCCCCACTCTGTCTCTAGTGAATCCTCTCATCTCCTGTACCTCTGGTCTATACCCCAGTTCCTATACATAAAAATAAGATAATTTAAAAAATAATCCTTTTTAGTCCAGGAACCTACTTTTAAATCTTTTAAACAGTCCTTTAAATATGTGTGCCACATTTTTCTTCACAATATTCTGGTTTTAACAGTTCTAAAGGGGTAGGAAGGTACATGAAAGAGTGATAATCTTAGAGACATGAAGTGGGGTATGAGACGCTTGGGTTTATTTTGTAGTTCGCCTAGTACAGCCTAGTGGTAAGTGGCGACTGCTGCTGTGGTTCCTCTCTAATCTGTACTGATGGAATGTATTAGCTATTATTTAATATTAAATAAAATCTCTTGACAGTCCTGGAAGACTTCACCATTTCTAGGCCAAAAAGGCTTGTGGTGTCGTCAGTGACACATGCCAGCGATGGGGCCTGGCTCCACTTCCATCGGTGTGGCTGGCTGCCTCTCCTTCCAGAACCCTCCCTGTCACCCGCCGGCTCTCCCGGACTGGAGAGCTCTGTCGATCCTACTGCCCCAGGCCACTCAATCCCTGTGCTTTTCTTCTTTTGCAGAGTGGGTTTTGGGATTGGATGTGAATGATACCAGGACAGATACAGGATGCTTAAAATTCTAACTTTTCACTTTTTCTTAGATGTGAACGATTAGAAGAACAACTAAATGACCTAACAGAACTCCATCAGAATGAAATCTTGAACTTGAAGCAGGAATTGGCCAGCATGGAAGAGAAAATTGCCTATCAGTCCTATGAACGAGCCCGGGACATCCAGGTTAGCATGAAGGACCACAGATGTCAGGGCAGTAGATGAATGCCGAGTAGAATGAGGGATGCCGCAGGCTGAGGGGGGTGGTCTGGGAGTGGTTATTTGATGGGTACAGTCTCTGTTTTATAAAAAAGAGCTACAGGGACCAACAGTGGTGAAGCTCACACAACATGACAGGAGTACTTGTTAACTGACCTGTGCACCTAAAAATACCTAAGATGGTCAACTCCATGTGTATTTTATCACAACTTAAAGAGAAGAAAGGAAAAAGGGATTTCTAACACATGCAACATATAACATGGATGAATCTAGAAAACACTGTGCTCAGGAAGAAGCCAGTCACAGAAGGCCACATGTTGTTTGACTCCATTACATGGCATGTCCAGAACAGGCAGATCTGTGGAGACAGACGGCAGGTTAGCAGTGGCTGGGAACTGCAGGGAGGAGGCAGCGAGTCAGAGCTCAGGGGTTCTTTGGGTGAAGAAAATGTTCTGGAATCTGATAGTAACAATGGCTATAGTTGCACAACATTTTGAATTTACTGTCACTGAATTGTACACTTTAAAACAGTGAATTTTGTTACATATTTTTTACCAAAAATATTAGGGGAAAAAAGATAGGGTAGAATATCAAGAAGCTTATACCAACTATAATATACCTGCTGTTCACTGAAATACAAGTCTCAAAAAAGGACACCATTTGGAGGCAGCATGGCAGCTTGGGTTCATGGGAAGTGTAGTCTGAGTATAGGGAAAACCACACGCATTACATCTGCCAGTTATGTTTCAAGAGCTCCTCCAGCCTGTCCTGGCCATTTTGCCTACCGTCTCCTGTTTTTTTTTGTTTTTTTTTTAAACTTTTTTTTTTTTTTAAGATTTATTTATTCATACAGAACTGGGGTACAGGCCAGAGGCTCAGGGGCGGTGAGAGTCTTCACCAGAGACAGAGTGGGGAGCAGAACAGGCAGATCGATGAAGTACACTGCTGAGGGAAGCAGCGGGCGGGTCAGGAGAGGTCTGGCTCGCCATGTGGTCTCCTCCAGGGCAGGCGGCAGGCGGGAATCGAACTCATGCGGAAGTGGCTTCAGATTCTTAGTGCTGTGCTTTAACCCACTGCACCACCAGGGAGGGCCCCGTCTCCTGTTTTAAAGGAGGCTTTTACCCCAGCTGCCAGGCCAGTGTTTTACAGGCATATTACCCAGCAGTTTGTGAAAATAATATATGAGGCAATAATGTTTAAAGCTAATAATAGCCTTCTAGTTTACTCTGTGGGGAAATGAAGTATTTAACTTCTTCTCATCCCAGTTGGGAGATACTTCTAAGGGTAGAGCTGGTGGTTTCATATGAAAGCAGCTTGAATTAAGCTAGTCTTAAGCAGGGAAATGGTCCAGGAAGCTTATGTGACAGTGGCATAGAAGAATCAAGGAAATATCCAGACCTTTTGCCCAGCTGACATCTTCTGTAGGCCCTGTTTATGTTTTAGCTTTTTCCTCAGAATTTTTCTGAGATAGGAGTCGCTCATTCATTTTCTAACTAGCTTCAGTGTAAAGTTGCCAGGAACCGGGCCCCACTACTGCTTAGGTGGGGGGATAGCTGGCCGCATCTGGGAAAATAGGTTCCTCTGAATGTTACGATAAATTTCATATGAACTTATGGGTTAATTTCTTGGCCCTTGAAAGAAGCAGTCACTCGTAACTTTTGGTCTAGCATTTGGGGAGTGAACCTTGATCAGAGAAAAACCCTTCCCACTCACATCAGGAAATTATTCAGCTTAGAAAACCCCAGTTAGTGTGCACCAGTATGTCCAAAGAGTGTTTGCCTCCCCATTATTACAGTGGAAAAGTTGTAAATAACCTAAATCTCTCCCAGAGGGAGTTGACTGAATCAACTGACATCTCTCTGCTATAACTTGCTCTGTGGCAAGGAAATATCCAGATCTTTTGCCTACTTGCTCTGTTAAAAAGAAAAGGCGCAGATCTCTAGGTATTGACAAGGAGAGCCTGTGAGGAACTGCTGTAGAGGGGAGACAGCAAGCTGTTGGGCAGCTCTTACAGTCTGATGCTATTATAAAAGAAAAAATCATGATCAGAGGTCTGATCAAAATGTTCAAAACCCAACCTAAGTGTGGCTACTGCCCGCAGGGACGCGGTGGGCAGTCTGGTGAGTGGCGAAGGGCGCTGTGGACAGCCTCTGGCAGGTGAGGCCTGAGGGGACCAGCAGCCTTTGGCACAGCCCAGGGGCTGGCAGCCTCTCAAAGCACAGGGGCAGAGGCTTACCTCTACCTTGTTCTGGCCCACAGGAGGCCCTGGAGGCCTGCCAGACCCGCATCTCCAAGATGGAGCTGCAGCAGCAGCAGCAGCAGGTGGTGCAGCTGGAAGGGCTGGAGAACGCCACTGCGCGGAACCTTCTGGGCAAACTCATCAACATCCTGCTGGCAGTCATGGCAGTCCTCCTGGTCTTTGTCTCCACGGTAGCCAACTGCGTGGTTCCGCTCATGAAGACTCGCAACAGGACGTTCAGCACTTTATTCCTTGTGGTTTTCATGGCCTTTCTCTGGAAGCACTGGGACGCCCTCTTCAGCTACGTGGAGCGGTTCTTCTCCTCCCCCAGATGATGGCGGCGCTGAGCCGTCTCCCTCCCCTCTGGCGAGTGCATGCAGCGGAGCACTAGGCGGCAACTTACCTACTCTGAAGTTTTCTACAACAAAACAAGAGTTGAGTGAATCTGTTTACATTTAGAATAATGTTTTTTTTTTTCTTCAAGAGACGCAATTGCAATAGTATTTTTTAGATTTTATCCAAGAAGTTTTTTGGGCAAAAATCTTGGATCATTTTTATGTAGCATGATTTCCTTGGGATGCAAATCTTAAATAGTCCTTTAACATAAACCACCAATCTGGAGCACACCGAAGGACATCCTAAATTGTGGCTTGAAAAGGACTGCACTAGAACCCCCTAAAAAGATACGAAGACCCGATTAGGGAGCCTGTTCACCCTAGCACCTGCCTGGTCTGGGCCCATCACCTCTCCCTCCAGACTGACTTTACTGTGAATCTGCCGCATGCCACGTCTGAATCTTTGGGTTCAGGGTGGATTTCTCTCGTCCATGGAAGAACACACGGTCTCCCTGGCTTCTCACCCGCGCTGGCCATTCATGCTAACCGCTAGAAGTACCTTCACGTTGGCACCCGGCCCCTCAGCCTTTGCTGGGACAGAGTGAGAGTGTCCTGCCCCAAAGGGTCACTGCCCAGGTCTGCTACAGTACTTTGAAGTAGCCTCTCAGTACTTCATTAAGCGAAATCCCTTGGCCGCACTTTTAAGATTTTTTTTAAATGTGTTTAGTCACCAACTTAAAAAAACAAAAAATCCGATCAGCATACTTGAAGAATGTAACCCTCAGACTCTCAGTGCTTCCTTGCGGTTTCTAATAGGGTTTTTTATTATTGTTATTATCATTATCGGGTTTTTTTGGAAAGGGTTGGGAGGGTCTTTTATTTTTCCTTTGAAATAAAGAAGTGATGTTTTTAAATGAAGAGACGTGTGGATATTTAAGTGTGCTGCTCCCCTTGTATTGAATCAGTTTGCGTAAAGGAAGATTTGCTGTAAATGCTGCCCTCCGGCGCCTTTGTTTTGAGATGCAGCTTAAACTCCCTCTTCTGGCTGCTGCTGCTGCTGCTGCTTTTTGGTGTCCTGCCACCCTACACCACCTTAATGGGCTCGGCTTGGTTGGAAAGGAAAGGGGTGTGCAGGGAGAGGGGACCCTGCTCCCACACACCAGCACGAGAGGACAGAGGTGGTTTTGCCTCACAGAAATGTTCACCCAGTGACTTTGGGCTGGGGTCATCTTTAGGACAAGTTGAGACTATCTTATGAGAGTCATAAATAGTTCCTGTTGTTTCCTTAATTTATTTTTTAATACCCCCTAATGACTGAAACCAAAGTAATGTGGAATCTTCTGTCTGCATTTTGGCCCCAGCATCCTTAATTTCAAAGCTTTATTCTGTTGCCTGAGAGAATCAACTGAAGGCGATTCTCCCTTTTAAAGAGCAGAAACGGAAACATCAGGTTAGCAGGAGCCAAGGCTTGGGGTGTGAGATGCTGCCTGCTTCCTAGTCACTCAGACTGACTGACTAACACAGCTGTGCGTAGTGGACTTCGTATTACAGACAGTTCAGGAAAGCGGGGCTTCCCCCCTTCCCCCCCCGCCTGGACACAGGGCCCTCTCCAGCCGCCTGGTAGAACGAGGCTCTTAGATTCATCTCGAAAGCCTGGTTAGCCTCTTCATACTCATGGTCATGAACCACAAATGCTGTTCCCTCTTGGCCTCAGTTCTGGGCAGCCAAGCGAGGAGCAAGGGCACGTCACCTGCCCGGAAAGGAGCAGAGCGTGCTCTGCCTCCTGCCCCCAAATCAGGAAATTCCTCTGGAGCTGGATTGGCATTGCCTTCTCTGTCCAAGAGGACGTTCTCACGTCAGCTCCAGCCTCCCGTGGCTCTGGCAGGCTGGCCTTCTCAGAGCCAGCGTGTTGCTTCAATAGTCATGTCGGTATATTAACTCAGGTACCCCAGTTTTCACTCCACCCCCAGATGATTGTAGAACACCTGTTAGCTCTCACAATTAGTTGCCCTCTCAAGATTAGTACCCAGAGCAGGGACCACAGGGGTGATTTTACTTCTGAAAAGTAATTGGAACCAATTCATGTTGGGGCCAAAAACATCATCCCCAAACCACAGGTTTAAAATGTTAACTTTGCCTAACACTATCACAGTGACTTGAGGCAGGAGCGCCACGACCATGTGGAGCTGGCCCCACTTCTGACCTTCGCTCCAGCGCGATCACTCAGAGCAGGGAAGAGCCCCACAGTTGCCGAAAAGGTGCTCCAGCCACAGTCCTCCAGCTTTGCTCAGAACCTTCTGTGTCCCCTGAATTGCACAGAGGCTACTAAATTTTTGAGGGCACTGGAAGTCACTGTGATACGTATTGAAATTATCCCCATTCGCCATGGGGGCAGTTTCTGCCAAAGGAAGGTTTTAGCCTCTGGAAGCCCCGTGAGCTCCGTTCCAGCTCCCTCTCAGATTGCCTGAGGAAGGACCGTCAGTCTAGGCGGCGTAGCAATGGCTTCCTAGCTCAGCTCGCTCGTTCCCAGGCCTAACTGTCGTCCGCATTAATGCTGTTTGTAACCACGCACCTGTTCCCGCTTCTCCCACCTCCTGCTGCCATATCTGTTTGCTTTTGAGTTTCTCTTGCATTGTGGCTGTTCTTGAATTCTCTTGTCTATTCAGAACTCTGTAACCTCCCTCTCATGGTGTAACAATTGTTTTGTGGGTGGAAATTTACCCTCTTGAATGCTTCTTCTCCTTTAAAGACTTGCATTCCCTTTGAAATGAAGCATTCCTGGGTTCCGTATTAGCACTGGTGCGTGAGGCTGGCTGTGGGACCCTGGATGATTAATATTTTACCTTTTTTCTGATATAATTGAAGGGCACGTCTGTCTGCTCCAATTTCAGTTCCTTAATATATACTCAGTGGATCCTAGCAAGGAAGGCTTTCTGCTCCACTGGCTCCTGAAGAAGCAAAAGTAGGTTAAATTTTATACTTCCCTGGCTGGGGTCTTCTCTTTCCTCTCTGGCCCCTCCACTCAATTGAGGTAAAAGTCTGACACCAAGAAAAATGCTGGGATTGAGCCTTCCTTGCTAGCCCTGTCCTTAAAAATGGTCATATTTTCATGTGGTCTTTGCTGCGTTTGGTTTTGTTTCTGATTTCATATCCCTTTGAGGTACAGTCAGGTGACATACCAAACTCCCCGGTGAGTTCCAGTGAAGAGCTGCCTTTCAGCTTTGGAAATTATGCATCGAAAACAAAACCAAATACAACCAACGATTTGACACAGGCAAAATTATGGTTCCCGCCCCCAAATGAAACTGGGGATTTTGAATGTGGCTCTAAGAGTTAACACTTCCGTCTGTGTGTTGTGTATGCTAGGTGATACCCTCAGTAGGATTGACTACTAGACTGTGTGTTTTATCGAAGTGTGTAAGAATAAAATCTCACTTGCACGAATTGAAAAGTACAGAAATGACACTTGTGAACGTGTGAACGTTAACACTGTAGTTGATAGATCTTAAGCTGCTAATTGTTGAGAGAGAATTGTTTGGTTGCTGCAGATTCCCAGCAGCACTTCTGCTGTATATATGAATTGAAATAAAGACCTCAGCTATTAACGAGGTGGTTGGACTCGGGTTTGTTTGCTCTTTATTTTTACAGACTCAGTTGCTCAGCCTGGAGTTTGTCAGTCTGGAAACGTCCTACCCACCGTACGTGAGAGAGCGTGTGTGCGCGTGTGGGTGCTGTTTGTGTGTGCATGGCATGCGTGCAGACGCGGGTACTGGCCGGGATCTGAAAGCCGTAACTGACAGCCGGGCAACTGTCCCTGTCTGCCTGGATTTTATACATGTCATGTCAGGCCATCATTCTGCCACAATGCCTTTAGTCTAGTAGGTAAGTAAGACTGCCCCTTAGGTCTTGGGCGGGGTATGGAGACAGATCCCCAAGTTTGGCATCTGATGACCCCACAGCGGGTATAACCCCTGCCCATTCTTACAAGGCTTCGTTAAAATGACACCATGGAGGCACAGACATACTTTGTGAAGCCCCTGGCATTCGAGTCCTCTGTGCCAGGTCCTGATGATTTGCTCCGTCCGGGTGGGCCACAGTGGCCGCACTTGGGGCTCACTGGCCTCTCGCCCGCGCGACCCTGCCAAGTAGGTGGTAAGAGAGGCAATATGCATTTGCTAGCCTGCTTTCACCTAATAAATGGACTGGAGAGTTGGAGGCTGGTACATGAACCTGAGATCCCACGAGGTTGCCCTTAAGCTCCCTGAAGTGTAGACGGGCTGCCGCGTACAGGGTGCAGAGTGTACCCTCCCCGGCCTCGGGGCCCCCCTTAAGGAGCACACACTGTGGAGGACACATCCCCTTGCGCAGCCCACAGAGCAGCCCCCTGGTGGGTGCAACGGTCGTTTCAGAGCTGGCTTTATTGGAGAGTGGCAGACCAGAAGCAGGCAAGCAGGGGAGGGTATGTGGCCAGCCGGAAACAGGCCGCAGCGAGAGGATCCACTGCGTGGCATGAACCCCGTGGCGAAGCACCAAGGCAACTGGTGACCCCAAGTGTAGGTGTGAAGCGCAGCTAACGTTCGTGAGTCCTTCGCCAGATGAGGTGCTTGCTACTGGACGTGCAGTGGCCACTGGACGTGCTGTGGCCTCTCGGCGCTCCCCTCAGTCTGCCGCCGAGTCTGCAGGAGGAAACTGAAGCCTGCGCTAGAGGCTTGCTCACTGCTCTCTGGTTAGGAGAGGGAAGTGAGCTGATAGAAAATACGTTGTTGCAACATTCTCTCAAAAGACGTGACTGTGACATGGGAGGGAAGAGTTAACACAAACTGAGAAGAAAACAATCAGCTCTGGAGAAATGGGTAATGGTCATGTGAAGGAGTTCACAGCAAGAGAGGCAATGGCCAGTAAGTACTCTAGAGAAAGCATCCAGCTTCGTGCATCAGCTGTCAGCGTCTGCCAGTGGGGAGAAGCCAGTCGCAATCTAGTGTGTTGCCCCGATAGTGCCGCGGGTATTTTGTTCCTTAACGTCTGTTTTGTGAACAGACGTAAGCAAATGGAAACAGAACTGCACTGTCAGCTGGGCCCAGTCATGCTTCTGGCGGAGGGGGCAGGCGGAGGGGAAGCGCAGGTGCATCGACCGCGTGCAGAGTAGGAATCTGGGTGTGACTGTATTTGTGGGGTCTAATTAAAAGATACCAAGGCTTTTTAAGAGTGAACGTCCATTAAGGGGAGCAGGAAAGGGGCACCATGTGCCTGGTGCCACATGATGCGAGCCCAGCTTTGCTTTCGGGTTACTTTACAAGGCCTTGCCCCGGTGTGCACCGCCATTGGCTCTTCCCGCTGGGTTTCGGTCACTGTGGCCAGGGCTGCAGCCGCCAATGCCTGCCCAGCGTCCCTCCCCCCACCCCTGAGAGCCTCTGTGAGCCAGGCTGAGCTGTGCAGTGGGGGAGGGCCGGGATGCGGTGCCTGTTGTTACAGAGTGGAGCCGGCCTGGGAGCCAAGCAGGAGGTCCTTCCAGCCGCCCCTGGGGAAGGCTCTTGGGAAAGGCGGTGGAGGTGGCGTCTGGGCTGAGAGGAGGGTTGGTGAGGGGCTGGAAAATGGGGCCGTGCTAACAAAGCACCAGGCTGGACTGCGCAAGGTGGTTGGTTCAAACAGTGGCCGGGAGCCCTGAGTGGGTGGTGGGCTACCTGGAAGAATATGCTTCAGGAGCTACCTGGAAGACTGCATGAGGAACAAGGCTTAAAACGGTGATGGGGGCTGAGCAGCCAGAAATCCTGAAAGTCAGGCTCAAGTTTTACCCTCAGGCTGCAAGACAAAGCTTCCAAGGTTAAGAAGGGGTGGTGAGCCAGCCCTGGGACCGCTTCCCTTGTCCAGGGCAGCTGGCAGCTGGAAAAATGCTGCCCAAGTGCTCAGCTTTTTATTTTAAATCCTGTAAATGCAGCAGGGAGGTGGGATGGGGGAGGGGGGTTGGCATAGGGCCAGGGGGTGGCTCCCAGTTGTATATGACATCAGGGAACTGAAGTCAGAGAAACTCAGCGTTCAGTTATTATTTTTTTTAATTCCCTATCATTTTGGTATTAGAATCCTTACCTCTAGAGCAAGAGTATTGACACAATTTAAATTTAAATCCAGTGAATGCTTAGCTATCTTTCAGAAGTCTTCAATAGCTGTTGAGACTCTATTGTAAAAAGTACATCAGCAAGCCATGATGAAAATTCATAATAATGACTCTACAAAAGTGAGGCTCGTGAGGATCACACAAGAGACTGCCCAGTGCCTTGCCGGTACCAGGCCTACCTCAGCAGCCCCCAGGTGCTCTGATGGCCACTTTATTCATAGGGCCCATGGTCCTTCGAGGCAGGACCTGCCTGGCACATCTGGATCTTTTCAGAATATTTCATGTCTCCCATTCTCACCTGATGAAGGGCCCAGAAGCCAGAATTTGGACTGTCCCTGGCCAGTCCTGGCTATCAAGCTACTTTGGAAAACAATATCACTGTGTATCAAGAATACCCTGACCAGAGAAACAACCAAAGTGGCCAGCCAAGGACAAAACCTTGCAAATGGATGCACGGCAACACTGGCATCTTACCCAGCAGTGGCAGGAGGAATGGTGCCTGGCACATAACAGGTGCTCATTTAAAAGTGGGGTTCCCTGCTTAGTGAAATAAGCCAGAAAAGGAAAAATATCGGATGGTTTCCCTCATAGCAGGAGTATAAAGGACCAGGGGAGAAAATACTAATAATAATGAACAGCTATATACCAGAGACATTTTGTGGCGGTGGAGTGGGGAATGGGATCAAAAACAGTGGGGGGAGGGAAATGCACTGGACAGTGATGATGACACATGGGTGATTTGGTGATGGGAAGCCCAAGGGGATTACAGCTGAGATGAAAAAATGCACAAAATGATGTAAAAATAAACAGATAAAATGGGATTTAAGTCGCTATTGCTGTTCCTGTCCTTCACCTTGACCCTAATGTCCCTTCTAATTATTAGAGCTGTCTTAAAAGGGAGGCGAGTTTCCATTATGCAGATGACACAGCAGCCCAGGGTTGGCCTTTTATCATGGACAAGTGGTCACACCAGTCAGTAGCAAAGTCAGTACCGGAACTTGGCTGAGTTTGCCTCTGAAGCCCTGCCATTTCTACACTCCATTTTGCTGTGGGTTTCAGACTCTGTGTGACCTCGCTTTCCTTCACTCGGCCTCAGCGTCCTCACTCTAAAGTCACCACAGTTTTCTGCCAGCATTAAGATGACGTCTGCGTCCTTGGTGTCCAGGTCATGGCCTCTACAGGAGCACAGGCTGCAACCCTTGAGAGTCTCACGTCGGGACAGGGCGAGGTGGGGCCTGTAGCTGAGACCCAGGCCTGGCCTTGTGTGCTTGGGGGTACAGGGGAAGAGGGAGGAGGAACCCCAGGAGGGGCTTGAAGCAAAGGTAACAAAATGTTTAAGTGACGGAGCCAGCCATCAACTCGTGAGCACACGAACGGAAGTACTAGAGAACTTACTGGGCTACTTCCCCTCACATATTCTTTGTGAAATCTGAGTCATGTTCGACGGGCCAGAACTCTTACAAGCCACCCGGGACCACCCTGGGGCGCGGGAGACCAGTGCCCAGGGGATGTAGCGTCATCCCTGCCCTTGGGTGCTTCGCTCCCTGCAAGGGCTGAGGCTGGTGCCCGCGGTGGGCGCGCTGAGAGCGACATCAGTGACCTGAGCGTCTCAAAAGATCCTTTAGGAAAAGACTGGTCTTTGTCAGAGTTCCATTTTTATAGTTGATTTTTCAAGTACATAAAAAAAAGAATTTCCAGCATCAAGTGAAGAGTTTGTGTGCATTTTAAATGCCCTGTCATATAGCTTGATTTTCCTTCATTGTAAAACCCCTGTGTTTGGTCCCCTGAATACTTACATATGAATTTTGTGTTTGTGGGGCCCTCCCTGGTGGCGCAGTGGGTTGAAGCGCATCACTATGAAACCCGCCACAGCCACTGCAGCACGAGTTCGATCCCCGGCCAGGGAGTGACCCACATGATGCAGCGGACCTCTCCTGACCCACCCGCTGCTCCCCACAGCCATGTGTTTCAGTAGATCTGCCTGTTCTGCTCCCTACTGAGTCTCTGGTGAATCCTCTCACCCCCCATACCTCTAGCCTGCACCCCAGTTCTTATATGCATAAATAAATACATCTTTAAAAGAATGTTTTTGTGTGTTTGCCAATGCACCTGTTCTCAGACAGTTGAACTAAGCGGGTGTGTGAGAGTGTTAAACGTGGCCCCGCCTGCTCAGGCCCTCGCCCCTCCTGACAGACCCCTGGATCCCGCAGCCAGAAGGACCAGACGTGCTTTTCTCCTCTTACTCATTTATAATTTCCAAACACTCAGGACAAGCTCCTGCTAAACTTCATTTAACAGTCACGATCCCACGTCCAGACGTCAGCCCAGAGGAGCCGGCTGGGCTGCCTGGGGCTGTTTGTCTCTGCAGCGGGAAACCCAGCTTTGGACTGTCAGTCTTTTTTTTTTTTTAAAGATTTATTTATTTGTGCACACAGAACTGGGGTACAGGCCAGAGGCTCAGGGGTGGCGAAAGACTTCACCAGAGACAGAGCGGAAC